ACTGATAGCAATCGTTTCTGTAAACCGTAGCAATCTTGCGATTCGTGACTTGTAGATAATTCGAAATGCCGTGCTTCAGTCTATCTTGTGTTGCGTCATCAGAAGATGTCGAGCTATGGCTGATGAAGGAGTCCTGTAGTTTAGACCGTTGTTTCTATGCCGCAGACTTGACTCAGATTGCGTCATTTGACTTTGGACCCGATTTTGGAATATGTTCAACCACCCGGTTACTTAATTGTCGCTCTATTCTGCCCACTTAGTTCGCTGTGCACCCACATTGGTGATGCAGTATTGCAATATGGTCTCCTCTTTTGAAATTGATCTCGGGAAAGGCTTGCTTCCATTTTCTCAAAATGGTCATATTGCCACCAAAAGCCTCAGTATGGTCCAGGAGGTGGGTGTCTAAGGTTGGTCCCCTATACGACCAAGCATCTCAAATAGCCTCTGCTGAAGAAGCCCCCTAATCACTGCCTTCTCGTGTTGCGGAGGTGAAACAATTTAAAATTTTCTTACTGACACCAGTTATCCATCCCAGAGCTGTCGAGATCCAATAAGTAGCCACTGAGGTTTTTTCGTAAATAAAGCATATTCACCATACGAAGGTGGAACGTGACCTGAGTTGCTCTATCCTCTTAGAGCTCCTCTACGTTTACTCCACAGATAAGAAATGATCAAGGCATACACACACACACACACTGCCATTGCTTACCACGAACAACCGGAGGTGGGAGTCGGGGCGTGGTGATTGTCCGCACGGTACTGTATACACCGGGGCCGGAAACGTTGCTAGCACACACCCGAAACGAATAGGAGCTGTTTTCTTGCAATCGCGTTGCCTTGTAGGATGTCTCGGTCCCCTCGTAAATGACAATCCACCTGTTGAGTGGAGAACATGGAACAGATAGATTGAGGTAAAAATTGAGGGTGGTGGGCATTTTTTTTTCTAGTTCAACAAATCCTACTGAGATTAATTGAATGTGCAATTAAACACGGTCCAATATATGGGGGAGAGGCGGAGGAGTATAGCAAAACAGTAGTGTTAAAGATGTGCTGCAGCTCGAGCTCGTTCTTGTCCGATTCCACTGATCGAGTGTATAACTTACTCCGGATCGGCGTCTTGGCTCAGTTGTAACGTGTAGTACAACGGTTTGGCTCGTCCCACGGGAGATGCTGCTGTAATAATTGCGGTTGCCGTGACCGGGGTGATTTCCTCCTCCCCGAGTCGAGGTGATGCGGACGTGGAGGGTGGATCCGGTCGAGCCCATTGGATGCGTACGGAATTGGCTGTCAGATTGGTGAACCCGACGAACTGTGGCGCATCAGGGCGTGGTGGTAGGGTGGCCACATTGAGCGCGGAGGAGAACGAGCCATCGCCCAGAGCGTTCAATGCACGTACACGAATTCTGGGGCGAAAACAGGTTCAAAGAGAAACAGGGTGAGAGATGAAACCAACACAAAAAGTCACTTAGAGGGTAATGCTTTAGAGTAAAAAAAAATGGTCTGTCGTATTTCACTGCTTCCAAAAACTCGATCGAGATGAAGATACGGAGTCCAGATGAACTGACCACGTTTGCGACACCGGGGTTCCCGATAAATAGGTCTAAAGTGGACTACACAGCCAAGCCCCTGTTCTCATGTCTGAACGTGGTTTGGCCACCACTTGCATTGAACACAGAGGAAGCCTTTGTCGGTGGCATTTGTAACACACGTTCCAACCGCCGAGATGGAGGAGGGCAAACCAAGAAGTGACACAGAGAAATAAATAAAGCGTGAACATATCGTTCTACCGTCAGAGCATTTCGGCCTGGAATACCCTTGGTTTAAGGAATCACGGTATATCGCATTGAACTGAAATCATTTATTATTAACACCAATCTTTACAGATACAGCACCAAAGAAAACCATGGATGAGCGAAAAAATATAGATACAAAAACGGAGAAAATAAGACAGTCAACTTCGAGGAGTAACAATATTTTTTTGTTTGTTCACTGCAAGCCATTTTGAGGGTATTTTTCGTTTTTATTTGTTTTTTGGATCGTAGACAAGAGGTGATGCATTCGCGCCACTGACTTCGGTTCAATGCCATATCCTGCAGTGCCTTCAGCCAAAGATGATCTGAATCTTTGGGGCCCCAACCGGGAAGCCCTAACGGAAGCCAGATCCGAGCACAATCCCTTTAACCCCCTGCGCCACGTCATAGCCTGCCCACCTCGTTGTTTCTTCCAGCCGGGACCGATGTCTGCGAGTAGTGAACGGTGTGACAGACGTTGTTCAGGCATTCGTAGGACGTGCCTTAGCCACCACCTAAGACAATGCTGTGAAATTACTTTGATCAAAGGAAGACTATCTGGTCCTAACACACGTCATCTGACTTCATCGTTATTCACGCGATGCTCCCACCATACGCGGGTGATGTTGCGCAGATAACGGTTGTCGAAGACTGATAGCTGCTGGACGTGATCTGCTCACAGAGGACAGGTCCCGCAGCCATAAAACAACACGGTGCGTACCGCTGCGCAAGACACACCCTTTCAATGAAAGGGATATATCGCGCCGGAGCCAGAGATGCCGCAGATTAGCAAACGCTAATCTAGCTTTGATCACGCGTTGAGAGATCTCCTTGCCCACNTTGTCACCCAGTAAGGCAATATCATCGGCGTACTCTAAGTTTACGACTCTGTCCCCAGGAAGAAGCCCGACACCAGCGTTCGCTGCGTTATGTAACGCGTTTTGTAGGACATCATCTATGGTAAAGTTGAAGAGAAATGGAGAGATAGGGCAACCCAGTCGCACCCCACTGGTGACAGGAAATGAGGGTGAAAATT